GGATAGGTTCATGTAAAAGTTCCAAGTGCTGTATTATACGATATGCTAGTAAAATCGAAGAATTCTTTTCTTTTTATACTCAGTTCATTATTGTTTGTGCAATCAGTCAACTCTTGTACGAAATTGATAAGCCCCAGGAGAGAAAAAAAAAAATCAGACGTTTAAAAAACGGGTTCCACATAACCTAAGAGAAACGAACAGCGATAGGTTTTAAAACATTTGTATTTCTATTTTTGTTTGACTCAGAAAATAGTCAATGGCGATGAAAAAATATATTTACTATAAGAATTCCTAATGAAGAAAATCGTGACTAGATCCAGGGCAACTTTCAACATTTCTGCTTCAAAACAGAATCTATCGAGGAAACCTATTGTTATGGAAAAAGAAAACCCGTGAGGTGTGAAGCGCTTGTCTTTATTCTTTTCGTCTTTTGCTAGACACGGAATATATCGTCATTGGTGATAAAAATACATTTGTTACGAGTAATACAAAACAAAGGAAAACATGCTCGGATCCAGAAAGTTCTTCAATATTTCAAATTCTAAACGGGATCTACTGGATTTTCTTATGGAAAAAGATATTGAAAAAGGATATTGGTCAGTGTTGTCTTTCTCCTTTTGATTGATCCAGAATAAAAGTTCAATAATGTTGTATCATACATACGAACAATAATTGGTATTTTCCTATTCACATAAATACAGTAGTAAATACTGTATGTTGGTCTGCAGTTGGAGATTAGTCTCCATCTGTGCTAGTCGAACTCTCTGCCTTCGGGCAGAGAGGAACCCATACGAGGCTATGCCGAAGGGCAGAGTCTCGTCTGGGGTGGTAGACAGCGACTCGACCCCCGTTTTCTACAAAAAACTATTTAAAAAAAAAACTATTATGTAAATTTTTGTAATTTTGTATAATATTTATGCATTACACCCTAATCTTTATTCGGTAAAAATTTCATTGCTAATCATGCATTACTTTTTAAGTAATATACATATTTATGTCTTTGTTGTTTCCGTTCCTTATATTATGGCTGCTGATGTATATATATAAATATAAATATGTAAATATAAATATAAATAAAATTATAATATATATATATATATATATATATATATATATATATATGTGTGTGTGTGTGTGTGTGTGTGTGTGTGAAAAGTATATAAATATAAATAAATATATATATATATATATATTATTTATATATTATATGCGCGGTACTTATTAGAAAGCGCTCAATATCAGAGATAGAGTTAATATTTGGTTGGATAGATGTGAGTTTGTGACCTGGGTTTCACGCTTTAGCGATCGTCAGACAAAGTCTTGTACGAAATTGATAAGCCCCAGGAGAGATCGCTAAAGCGTAAAACACAGGGTCACAAACTCACATCTATCCAACCAAATATATATATATATATATATATATAAAATTACAATGTTCAAATTTTACTTTTACATATATATAATATATATAAAGTCTAGACGAGTAGGAAATTTCCTTAACTATATTTTTTTTTTATCTCCACAGATTAAACATGGTTTTGTCAAAAGAAGAAAGAAATGGCTTCTTTTTCTGGGGTATGCTCAAGGAGAAAAGTGTACTCAATGAAAATGACAGATGCAATGTGTAAAGAGTGAATGTGCTAAAATTAGCGACAATGTGTAGTTATTGCATCGAGTTCACGTGAGTCTTGCAAAGCACATCAACCTTTGCATCACCAATGATGGAAATAATTTTGAAGACTTTATTTGTTAATATTCCAATTCAATAAAATGCTGCTGAAAATTCACATTTCTTGAAAATATGCATTTTTGCCTGTGTCAAGATTTTATGAATACCCTGTATATAAATTTTCTGTTCCCTCTCCCGTTAGTAGCCATGTTATTCTTGTCTCGCCTGTAGCGATAAATAAGCCTTACTCCCACTATTAGGCGATGATGAGGATAAGGCAGATTGATTGATTTTTTTTATACGGCTTATCAACCATTTACGGGTTAATTAAAGCCAGAAGACATTTTACATTGTCAGAATATTTTGGGGATAATAATCATTTACTGGTACAGGTCTTATTAATTAACCCATAGCTTGGAGAGAAGAGGTGGATTTATACTTTTCCAAAGGATATCCGCGAAATCATACTTATTATAAAACCCAGGTTGTGTGTGTGTGTCTGTACGTTTATATATTGGATCGGATTTCCTACATTTTTCAACCGATTTCAACAAAACTTCACAGGACTACGTAAAATTACCTTGCGGTGGTTCTGACAGTGCCAAAATTTGGAAAAACACAATTGTTTTTGCACGAAATCAATTTGAAAACACGATTAAGAGGCATCACTGTCGCCAGAATGAAAGTGGGACAACTCATATCAAGTTATACTTATTATAAAACCCAGGTTGTTTGTTTATGTGTGTGTGTGTGTGTGTGTGTGTGTGTGTGTTCGTTTATATATGGGATCGGATTTCCTACATTTTTCAACCGATTTCAACAAAACTTCACTTTTTTTTTGGCAGGTAGTGTTTCTTATTGTCTTGCTCACTTTTTTCTTTATTTTTGCATTCAGAATGCTTTAAAAATTCCATTTACAAGACAATTATTTATAATAAAATTCAATCGGGAGATTCATAACGATTGAAAACAATGTTTTTGTTTGAGTTTGGGTTTGACCAATTCGTAAAAAAAAACAAAAAAAACTAATGCGTGTCCGTCAACCTTAAACAATAATCTTTGTGAATTTTATTTTTCAGTCTTTATGATGGTCGATACTTGATCTATCTCTTACTGTTACATCCCCGGGCAACACCGGGCTCTACTGCTAGTTGTATATAACGATGCAACTGGAATTGGAAATCGCTTCTTTAAAGCGGCTCGAGTACCAATCTTAAAAAGTTCATGCACTAAGAATTAGTTTTTCTACGCAGGACATGACATCTCTCTCCAATACTTAATAAGCGCCTTATATTCCATTCAAATTCATTACATTTTATTTACGTGAGAATACTCTTGGGAAATGGTATGACTCATTCCATTTGAAAAAAAAAAAATTTATATAGTTGAGTTTCGGGTTTAATTCCAACATGCGAATTACAAATTGGATATACCAAAATCAAGCAAGTACAACGATTTAAATATCTAGGGAGTGTTATTTATGGTATTATTTTAAGGTACATTCAGCATCCTTCCAAAGAACCACACCTCTGTTGCCTCAAGTTTTCTTTTCATCTGTGAGAAAAAAAATTCTTCATTATTTACTGCCATGTAAGAGGCGATATATTACATTGCAGTTCAGCACTCTTTTCTTTGTTTCTAAAAAAGTTTTTCTGCTTTTTATTCTCAAACCAATTCCTATCTTCAATGTTTAAATCATGAACATTTTTATCTGTGATCAAAATACAGACGGGAGTAAAGGAAAGCAAGAAGAAAGGACTAAATATCAATTGTGAGAAGACAAAGCATACAGCTGTCAACAAAAAGAGGAGCCCAACCTGCTAATTACAAATTGGAGATACCAAAATCAAGCAAGTATCAAAATTGAAATATCTAGGAAGTGTTTAACAGAGGACGGAAAATCTGACACCAAAATCCGGAGTTGCATTATTCTCACTCCTTAATAACGTTTTATTTCTTATATTCGCTAAAATCCAGTAACCCCTCTTGTATCTTAGAGGCTTTATTGCCTTGCTTGGGGTGAAATGATTAGGAAAAAAAGAAAACAGAAAAAGAGGTCAACATGCAAATTACAAATTAGATATACCAAAATCAAGCAAATACAATGATTTAAATATCTAGGGAGTGTTATTTATGGCATTATTTTAAGGTATTTTTAACATCCTTCTATAGAACCACATGTCTGTTGCCTTAAGTTTTCTCTTCATCTGTTAGAAACAAATTCTTCATTATTTACTGCCATGTAAGAGGAGATATATTACATTGCAGTTCAGCACTCTTTTCTTTGTTTCTAACAAAATTTACCTGCTTTTTATTCTCAAAGCCAATTCCTATTTTCAATGTTTACATTATGCAAATTCTTGTCTGTGATCAAAATACAGATGGTAGTAAAGGAAAGCAAGAAGAAAGGACTAAACATCAATTGTGAGATGACAACATACGGTTGTCAGCAAAAAAAGGAGATCAACAGGCTAATGACAAATTGGAGATATCAAAATCAAGCAAGTACCAAAATTGAAATATCTAGGAAAATGCGACACCGGAATGTGAAGTCGATTTGGGATAAGAACGATGCCTTCTAAAAGCTAAGCAAAATATTAAGAAACAGGAAAACTTCGTTAGAAACACATAAAAGAATACGGGGTCGTTATGTAATAAGAGTTCTTGTACATGGGAGTGAAGCTGGACAGTCTCCTCTCAAATGAAGACGAGACATTAGGCAACAGAAACGTGGTTCTACAGAAGGCGGCTGAGGATGTCATGGACAGAACAAGTAAGCAACAACAACGTTTCAGAGAAAATGGGAACAAAAAAAGGACACTTTTATTTAAAATCAAAAAGAGACAGTTTGAATTTCTAGGGCACAGAATGAGGAAAGACAACTTAGAAAATGTGACACTCACAAGACATATTTGAAGGCAAGAAGGAGAAAGGGGAAGCAGTATATAGCGATCTTTTGGAAATGTCTGGTAGAACAGGGATTCGGTGAGATAGGAAAAAGGTAAATTTTATTAAAAGCAATAAAGGGCAGGAGGTTGTGGAGAGCCATGATCGTCAACATCTTGCTGCGGCACAAAGAAGAAGGAGGAGAAGAAAAGAGCTTAGCTGAAACGTAACATGATAGAAACCCAGGGTATTTGAACAAGACAAATCATTTTATTCAACTGATTTTCACACGGTGAACTGATGAAGAGCGAAAACATAGCAATCGGAACGTTTTGAAATTCACTTAGAAATAAATAATTTCTGTTTTGATTGATCCCCCTTTTTTCTGCAAGACACATCTATTTTAAATTCATCTGTATTTCACCTTTACATTTACAGACAATCCCGTTGAAACACAGATTCTCGTACGATCACTGTAGTTAAGCAACGTCGGGCCTAGACAGTACCTAGATGGGTGATTGGTTGGAAATACTAGGTGCTGTAAGCTTGTATATGCGGGTAGCGTAATGGATAACGGCTCCGAATTGGAAATCTGAGAGCCGAGTTCCAATTCAAGTCAGGTTCGTTATATTCGCTCACGTGCAAATACCCTATGGGTTAATGTTGTGTCGTGGCACAATAGTAAAAATAAGAAAATCAAGTCGAAGTTGGTTTAAAGAACAAGTGTATTTAACATCACAGATACAAAGGTAGGAAACGGGTACTACTCAGCTAGGCAGTTGTAGTACTGTCGCTGCTTACACCGGGTAGGTATTACTGGCACTATATATAGTGAGAACCGGTGTAATTCCCTTGTGTTAGAGGCCGGTGCAACAGTTAATTAGTAGGACTTGTATCAGTAAATCATTATTAACTTTGAAAACGTATTACAATCAGAATATATTTTCTGACACCAAATAACCCGCAAAAGGTTGATAAGTCGTAAAATATTAATCGATTCTTTCATTTATGTAAAATGGTCTCCATTTTATCCGTACACGCCAACTGATTTCCTCATGGTGAGCAACGGGGATTTGGCGATCGAAACGACTTGAAGTTTATTTTAAAGATGATTGCTATAGTTCGAATAACAAGCTCCCTGCAGTGTTGAAAATTCCTCGTTTCTGAACTGACTGTAAATTCATTTGCATTTTCTAAAGGCCAGATCGTTTAACTTTGGACAAGCTATGTCTTGTAATTCGTTGCTGGATGTCATCGCAACGGAAACGCGTTAAAGTGATTTCGAGACTATTTCTTTTCTTTCTTTTTAACGTCTTCTCTTTTTTTTTATCCGATGGTTCTTTTTTTTTTATTTCTCCACCTTGATTTCACAGCACGTATAAATTAACTCCCTCCCCAGACTGAGTCGAGGATTGAACGGAATACAATTACCAGAACGAGTTATCTCCCCTGTGGTGTTGCCATCTTGATTGGATTAAGGCAGCTCGGAGTCGAGCGTCCGCCATTGCTGCTAATATTCTCCCGTTCGTCCAGCGGTCGGGCAACTCGATCTGTAAAAGGCAAATCTGAACACAGCTTCTGAACTTGCTGAGTGGCGGTTTTGGCGCCGGGCCAGGTCAGCAGTTCGACTTCAAACAATTTGCATCCCCCAACAACCTTGCCAAACAGGTTATCTGCCCAGTGGGAGAGATTTTTATATACGCGCATCACTCAAAGGCTCCCGTGGATGCGCCGACGCTTACATACATACATACATACATACGTTCGTGTATGCAGAAGATCGTTTAAGAGTATAACCTTTTATTGTTAGATATGTACGTTTGTAGTCGAATGTTCACGACTGAATCGAGAAAAAACGTACTATTAATACTGGCGAAATGATTTTAAACAAGTTACAGTAATGATACAAACAAGAGCAGATTCATACGCCAGGAGAAATAAACATCTGCAATAAAAAAAAGAAAACCTTTTTACTCTATTAACGCTTTACGAAAAGCAAAGAAATAATCCCTTCACGAGAGGCAGCTCATATATTTGTTATTACAAACACAGGTACTTAATGCGTCCTGGGTATGACGATAAACTACATCCGGCAGCAAGGCTAGGAGGTTTTCAATAGCGAAGAACCACCTGTAAATTGCTGTTGTTCCTAGGTAGTGCCTGTTAGGGGTCACAGCTATGGCAAATAGATAAACCTCAAATTGGGGTCAAAATACTATGAAAGTGTAAATATAGGTTTTTATAGTAAAAGTATCAGGAATGCATTTAAAAAAAAATATTACCAGCAATATATTTTTTTAAAATAAAAAATACCAGTAATACATTTTTGAGAGAAAAAAAAAATTAACGGTAATATTTTTTTTGGTAAAAATAAAATTACCAACAATTTTACTCTCGATAAAAACCCTCTTTAAAAAAATACGTCAATGAAACCTGATCTACAAACTGATTTCTTACAAAGAATACATATTCTATTCATACGAACTAATCTTTCAAATCTTGTCGGCATTAAATAACCTATTGAGGTTGATATGCCGTAAAACAAAATAAACCAAACCAAACCAGTTACTTAATACGTAGATGACACGGTATTGATGACAGAAAAGTAAAGAAAATTACAGGAACTCTTTTTTATACTAATGTTCACCTAATAAAAGTCCCGGGATCCTCTTAAAGTAGAGTGTTTATGCGTAGTGGTGTATGAGCGTAAGAAAGACTTGAAGATTTAGCGATTGGGAAAACACCTTGCCGGAAGTCTGTTCCACAAAGTGGCATCTCTTGGGAAGAATTTGTCCGAATAGAACTTACTCCTTTCTCATGGAATCAGAAGGGGATGGGGATGATTCACTCTTGTGTACGTGGCATGGCGGGTCCCAGTTGTAAAGGTCAGAGGTAGTGGTACTAAGCAATGTAGCCCGTCACAACAGATGACATTGAAGTAACGCAAAGTTTCGTCTATAGGAGAAATAAGGTGGAACATAATTCATCATCCACACGGCTGCGTAGACGCGTTTGAACTCTATCAAGACAAACAAGTGAAGACTGTGCAGCTACAGCCGAGGTATGGCATCGATACTCCATTTTTGGTCTGATCTGGCTCTTGTAAAGATAGAATATAGCAGAGGTGGGTCAGATACTTACTGGAGCAATACAATGAACCGACCATTTTCTCAGCATCTTTAAACAATAGATCGGATGTATGAGTTTCACTTGAGCTCTGGGAAAAGCAGGGAACACCCATCCATCATAATTAGTGAAAGTTCGGGGTCTGATCGGTGGCGGTGGAACGTTGCTAGACAAGATAGCAATGAAAAACGGGACGAAATAAGCATAAACTGTAAGAAAACAGGACGAGGGACAACCCAAGGTTCGAGCTGCGAATTGGCGTTGTCAAAATCAAGAAATTATTTAATCGACATGATCACTAGTCGTTTTGTCATCATAGTAAGTGCCCAGAATAGATTCTCTTTACTATGCTGATCGTTCAAGTCCCACTTGTAGGAATCATCCTTCAGGCAGTACCTTTTCTTCATGAAGGGCTGAAATTTATTACTCGGCGCCTGAAACGCACCCAAAAGAGGAAGTGCTTAAGTAATTTTCTTTTTTTTTTAAATTTTGTATTACATTCTGTTACGATATGGGCATGCGTATAAATGTCTCAATACCTACTATTCTGATTATAATCTGACTCAAGGATATGAAAGTTCAAGAACACAAGAGATGGCGATTGACGTTGCATTTAAATTTTTTAAGTAATATTGGTATGCGTTTTGGTATTACCTATCTCATTATGGGTCCTATTGCCTATAGGTATTACCTATCTCATTATGTGTCCTATTGCTTATAGGTTTTACATATCTCATTATATATATATATATATATATATGTACGTGTGTAGGTCTGTAAAATAGAAAAAGTGACGACAGTCTGTTTCATGCTTGAAAACAATCTTCAGACCATGTCTGAAAGCATCAAGAAAGACATCACCTGAAAACTGCGTTCAAGCATGAAAACCCAGTGTCCAATGTTACATTTATATGCGCTCTGGTTGTGATATTGAGCACTTTTAGCCATAAATATAGCATACCTTAAAACTACATTTTTATCATATATATTGTTCCTTATCTGTCTATGCCATGTTTAACATATCCATTTCAGCGTCTCTTTGTCTACCCGTATCTTTAATATATATATATATATATATATATATATATATATATATATATATATATATATATGCTGGTACTCTGGTAAGTGTACAAATCCATAATTGCCAATGTGACGACCTACGCTTCCAGTGAGGGTTCCTGTTCTCTATACTCCTTTCCTGGCTTAAAAAACAAAACAAAAACAAAAATGGAGGCCGTCTCGCTGAACTGTTATTGTGAGCCAAGACAAACGTGACGAGGGATGTTAATTATGTGCAATTCTGGAGGCTGATATAAATTCAATAACCTCTTTTTGCATCCACAGATTCCCCACCGGAAAATCAGTTAATAAAAATGGCGGCGCAGAGCACGCCATCTATTGACCGGCAAGCGAACTAGTAGCGGTAGACGGGGGCACGAAGAGTAATCAGAGAGGGAAAAAAACAGAGAAAAGGCGGAAAGGTGGAGAAAAATCAGAAAATGAAAGACATAAAGAGAAAGGTGGAATGAGAGAGAGAGAGAGAGAGAGAGAGAGAGAGAGAGAGAAAAGTTGGAAGGAGAGAAAGGTAGAGAGACAAAGAAAGAGATAGATAGAGAGAGAGAGAGAGAGAGAGAGAATGAGAGCGATTGAGAAAGAAAAAAAGAGAGAGTGAGAGAGAGTGGAAGAGAGAAACATAGAGGGTGAGTGAGAGTGAGAGACTAATCAACTACTTTTATTTTTGTGCTTAAGTATCACCCCCGCACGGATACACGCTCACACACACATGCACAAACACACGCAAAATCACATATCTATAAATAAGAGGTGTGCTGAAAAGTCCTCAACCGAACGGAATGACCAGAAGCAGAGATAAAACAGAATCTGATGGTCGGTGATTTGGTTAGATTTTGAGATGAGGGTTGGGCCGAGGACTTTTCACCATCCCATGGAACGTACACAGAATATATATATATATATATATATATATATATATATATATATATATATATAAATGGAAATTAAAGTCAAGACTCAGAGGCGATAGGCTGTTTTTCATGCTAGACGCAATCGTCAGGCGGCCTGACAATTGCGTCTAGCATGAAACAGTTTGTTGTTTGAGTGTTGAATCAATGTCCCATAAATATAGCACACCTTAAAACTATATTTCTTCATATATATATATACATATATATATATATGAAGGAATATATTAAAAATTAAAAATGAAAATATTTCAAATCGTAGTTAAATAAAACGTATTCTAAGCTAAACACCCCCCAAATCTTTAAATATACAAACAGAAAAAAATGCCGTAAGAATTTTTGCCGTTAACAATAAATTTAAAAAAAAATCCAAACGACATGCATTCAACGGATGTCAGATTTCATTGAAAAATACATCCCTACCCCCCTACCAA